GACTACTCTTATTAGATTTTATGACTAGTCGTCAATGAGAGTACTAGGACGCGTATGCATGATGGATAAAAACTCAGACTAGTCGTGGACGAGTAGTTTTTGAGACAAAGACTAGACGGGACGGGTCGACTTGACTAGAAAAAAGACTAGTCATTTAACCAGTCTTTTGCTCACTTGGGTTATTTTGATGGAATACGAATTATTCTCAATGAATTGTATTATTCCAGAGGATATATTTTATGAATTATGATGACCCGATATGTCATTATAAATTTTTGTCAAGTGATACGAATTCTCACAAATGAATGCATATTATTTCGAATGAATTGTTTTATGGATTTTAATGAAGCACTATGAATTTTAATGAAGCACTATGAATTTTAATGAGCAAATGTGAAAACTGATATGAAGAAATGTCTATTATAAAGCAATAGGAAACACCGTAATTAAAACAAATATATATATATATATATATACAAAGAATTATGATGGAAAACCATATAAACAGTGATAATGATCCATGATATGTGCGGATAACCTGCCAATGAAATGACATACAAAGAAATTTATATAAAAACGTTACTAACTATTACTTAACGACTGCGAAGATTGGTCAAATATGTGATACAACCCATTAGTAAACGCTGATCGTTAGAGAAACGGTCATAAATCAAAGATAACAAGAACACAGCAGATAACAGAATGCACATAAGGAGCAATGGCTGTTGTTAACAACGAATTACAATTCGTTAACAACACATCAATGGCATAACATTCAAAAGAAATTATGTGTAAAGAAGGCTAATCATTGCCTAATGTTCAAGAAGATTGACTTAGCATATAAATGACTCATGGTGGAATCGGTTATAGAGTCATGTTTATTATTGAAACAGTTATCATTATTTTTTTGTTTCTTGTTTTATTGCATGTTTTGCCTGTGTAACCATAAAAATTACACGAATTACTGCCGTGTGCTTTACTGCCGTTGTAAACAATTGTTTACATACAGATTTCTTTATTTTTAGGAATTTTTAGGAGAGTTTTTCTGTGGTAAATTATATGATTATCTTAGATAATTCTAATGATCACAATAGAAAAGCTATTTAGATTTTCTATGTCATAAGTTTTGTTTTTATCTCAAGGAATCGTAAAAATATATTGAAAACTAACTATAGTTTGCAATCAATTTAATATATTGAAAGGAAATTATTCATTTTCTATCTCAAAGGTTTATTTCTCATATCAAATGTTCGTTAAAATATGTTTATGGTTGTCTATAGTTCGTGATTGAATGAAAAGATTTAACGAAAAGTGTATTTTTTAGCTCAAAAGTTTATTTTTTATGTCAAAAGTTCGTAAAAATGTATTTAAGTTTATCAATAGTTAGTAATCGAATACGTAAATTGAAAAAGAGGTATTTTTTAGCTCAAAGGGTTGTTTATTTTTTTAAATGATTGCAAATGTTTGTTAAAGTAAGTATATAGTTCGTGTGCTATTTTTATTCCAATCTAAAAATCTGATTTAAATTTTAAATATTTCTAGGATTCTCTAAAAAGCATACCAAAATTAGATACTTCAGAAAATTCTGAATTTCACGAAACGAACCATTAACGTTATGTTTCTTATTTCTTAATCGTCTATTGTGATCATTAGTGTATCTGAACTATAATTCATATAACTTACCAATTTGAATGAGCAAGAGACATGTTAATATTGATTTGAGTAGTTACGTTAATGAAAGAAAACAGAAATGGGCGCTTTATCAAATTGCTTCATTATTGGTAATTATACAGAAAAATATGCTATTATGAAGTTGAGGTTTATTGTATTTTACCAAAAAATGAAGAAATATTAATCTATACATGATTGCAATATCATGAACATGACACTGATAAAGCTTACAAACAGATAGAAGTTATATCAACGTTGTCGATTGAGATTTTAGAAATAGCAGTAGTTGGATATATAATATGTATTTATCTTGATATTTTTATTGTAGCGACTTGATGTGTTATTAGTTGAGCGAAACAGGAACGTATAATTCTCAATTTTTAGTCTGATTTAATAAAAAAGATGAAACTCGAAGTGTTCAAAGGAAAGCAGAATTATTTTAATGTTTAATTATAAGAAAGTTTTAAAACGATATTATTAGCACTATCATATTTTAAATAATTATGAAATGTTCAATAAATAATAATGGTATTTTTTTGATGATTTTATTAGATTCTTTCTTTCTAATTTTTGAGGATAGTTAGAAAAGGGTGTGAGTGTATGTGCAGGTTCAGCGGATACCGACACCTACACCCGCACCCTCAAGATATTCATTTAATAGATTACTTAGACGAAAACATTATTGTTTTATTTGAAAGAATCTCCACCAGTTGAACTCATATAATCAAAAGCATAATTCATTCTGTTTATTGAATTCGGACAAGAAAAACAATAATAAACTCGATTATACTATAAATCCATAACCATGAGTAATTAATGAGAAATCGTCAACAAAATTTTCAAAATGAAAATGTATTTTCTCTTAAATTAATCAGTCAAATATAAATATATAAGTTACGTATATCTTAAGCATTTTTTGCTTTTAAAATTATACGTTTGTAATGATCCAACGACATTTATAAGATGAATCAAATCTATTATATGATTACTGTTACTCCCTTTTACATTAACAGTATCCATTTAAATAAATTATATATGTACATGTATATTGTTTTAGTTTGCAATTTCTTTTCAGACTCGATAATACCACTATGCAATACTATTATATCATTAAATGTCATATTATCAGTGATAAAATACGTGACGCACAAATGAAATGTCATTTAATGTTTTGCTTTATTCCGATCAATCAAAATTCATTCAAAAGATTATATTATATGGACATGACACCATTATGCATAACTTTCTAATTTTTTACAATACATAACAATTCAATATGTCATGTATTTTTGCTTTTATATGTGAGATTATTAATTAATATCAATTTCCTTTCAAATAAAAAATATTATTCATATCCAACAGAAACATTTTTCATTCATCGTTATACTAACTATTAAAAAAAATCAGTGCATTCTTCAGTTTGTCTTATACATTCGTACACTTTCGTCCAAGAAAAAAAGAATAAATACTTCTATATCAAAGATAATAATTTATTTACGTCAATGCTTTTTGTCAGTTAATGCTTAGAAATGATTTCTAAGTCGAATATCAATATCTATTTTTTTTTATAACACTTTAATATTGAATAAGAATTACGATGTTCAGAATGTTTGACATTCAAATTACAAAATTCAATTTAAAATAAAGAAGTATCTGATATTA